AGGTTGATAATAGTGTTTTTTTAGGTTCCGTAGTGATTTTTATGTAACTAGTAGTGTTGTAACATTTTCTAATTTGCAACCATTGACAATTTTAATAAGAATCACTACTACATAAATGATAAAATTTATAAATCACTATTAACAAGGCCGAAAAAACCCACTACTAAAAGATAAATAATCGCTACTACACCTTAATAAAACGAATACTATTAAATACTACTAATCAAAACCACTGTAACTTAACAAAAAAAAAACTAAAACTTAACCGAAAATACTACTATAACTTAACAAAATCACTACTATTAAAATTGGTCCATACTTTCCAATTCCTTTCTCTCTTTCTCGTCCAGGGGCATATACCTTCCCCATGTAAAACTACCATCACCATCACTGCGATAGAGAGAGAAGGCAAAGAGGGAGGATGACGTTGAGGCGGAGTACGGTGAGGGAGGATGGCGCTGAGGCGGAGTATGGCCGAGGCGATGGCGACAGTGTGGGCGTTAGAAGCGACGCTAGACTGCGGTTGTGGGGAGAGACGGAGATGTTGGCGAGGCCAGCAGAGTAGGCGAGGTCGACAAATGGTCAGGCGGCACGTCACTGGTTTCGGCGCTCATAATCGTCGATGAGACAGAGAGGGGAGAAGGGTTTGACGTAGAGAGGGAGGGAGGTTTCGTGGGTGAGATGGGGTTCGTGGGAGTGAGAGGTAGTTGAATTACTATTTATATTTGGGACCATAAATCTTGGTTTACGGTTTGCATCAACGTCGACGTTTTGGCACAAGTTACAGACGGAGGAAGAGAGTTACTGCCGTAACTTTGCCCGTAACTCGCAAATCTCCAGAGTATAAAGGGCAGACTCAGACAAAAATTAAAGGATATGATTTTCACTTTCCAAGAACGAACCTAGAGAGTCAAAGAGAAAGCTAGTGACGAAGAACAAACCTTAAGGAGCCGACTTAAGCCACTTAAGACCATTGGAGCTCGATTCCTTTCCTTCAAAGTACTGATTGCTGATCTGGAGAAGATTTCACTCACCTACACGATGATGACCATATCCAGCCTTGCGTTCCTTCCTCTGTCCATGGAGTAAACCTTCCTTTCACTTTGGTATGAAGAACCCTAGATCTGTATGTCAGGTGCAGTTGTATGAACCCAAATTCATGACATTTGACTATTTTATATTCAATTGAGACTTTAATCAGAATGACATGAGTCTTGAGCACATATTATGATTCCTGCTTTGACCTAGAACGATGGTCTCTGAATAGGTCAATAGAGCAACGTGAATTGGAGGTAGTGAATCGATTGCAGAGAGTGAATTGATTCACTGCTCTTTACTGGAGTTAAAAGCCAATAGAGGAAGTCTTATCGACTTGCCTTGGTAGTTTATTGATGCTATCACGCTCAACCCTCATGATCTTATTTGAGGTCAAGTAATCTCTGCAGGTGGACCATGAGCCAAAAGACGAATTAAGAGGTTCAAAGAGAGTTTGAGAGCATTTAAGATTTTTGAAAATGGCTCTATCAGCGAGACTTACGAGTTTATTCATGTGAAATTGAATGCCAACATATATAGTTCTTGAGTTCCAAAATGAAGGTCCGAGTACAACGATACAAGGATCAAATGGGATCATTCTTGTTGGAAGTGGATTTGCATCGAGGGAAGCCCATCACATTCTTACAATTCGTGGACCAGAATCAAGAGAAGATGAGATTAGAAGAAGGAATGAATTCGGGCTGGAATGATGAATTATCCCCACAGTGTGAACACAGAGTGTGAAAGGAATATAAGTGTGAAAGTGTTTGAGCCTGGAATGTACTAGGCGGTTATGGGGCTCCGATCTGGTCTCCCTCGTCCGATCTCATCGGGAGTGGAAGAATCTGTGAGGCGGGGGGCGGCCCCCGGGATCTACGCTCCGACGCCCAAGTTAGTACAATATAGAAAGAGGTTTATGGTATGTAGAGAGAGAGAGAGTTTAGAGAGAGACCTTAGGGTAGAAGTGAGGAGGGGGAAGAGAGGAAATTTAGCTTGGAGGGTTAGGCCTCCTTATATAGGGTTTGGGCTTCCTTGAGTGGGCTTGGGCCCAAGACGCCTTGCGGTGGGCTTGGGCCCGTTTATAGTCGTGTAGGCATATTAATCCATATCCCAATAATTGCCCCTTTACTTCTTGTATTCTGTAAGAATGGAAGGAGTAACATAATGCGTTAATCGTGTATTAATTTGCCTTACTTACGAATCTGGATGTAACACCCTACCCTATACGTTTTGCCTAATGATATTGTTCATACAATTGCAGCGGAATTAATCCCGGGTGTTACATTAATTACCAAAAATTTACCCAAATAAAATTTCGACATGAATTACTCGCGTAATGGGCTAACAGTTCTTGTAACTAAAACCTGCAAAATAATTTATCTGAATCCATGCATTCAATGACAAACATATACTAACAACCATATACATGGACTTTCATAGCCATATTCACAGTTTCATACTCCACAACTGCATACCATACTTATACGTACCATAATCGTCATAACTTACACAACCACATAAATATACACATATCATTAACTTTCCACACCTGTGGATATCTCACACTACATCAGAAGCTAGTATGCACATGAAAAACGTTCTCAAAACATTTTTACAATAAGGTGTGGATCACTGGCCAAAATCCCGAGTAGTAGTCCAAGCACAGAATGGTTGAAGACCATACCTCATCTTGCCTTCAACTCTTGCTCACCTCCCACCTATACACCTATCTACTGCTGCTGATGATCTGCTTACACATAGCATAAGCAGAGAAGAAGAATAAAAGAGGGTCAGCTCATAGCTGAGTGAGATAATCATCGCATAGTGAGTTCATAACCAGCATACCCCTACCATACATCTAGCAATCAAGCCAAAGCACTAGGATCAGATCTCAGCCCTCCGACATCCCAATAGGCAAAAGACTCAACCACCTTGACTTATGCAAATGCATCTTATCATGTTTTACTTATAGGCGCCTGGCTACTCCCATGCTAATAACTCTCCCGGGAAACATACCCCACATCCCGTCGGATGTAGTCATACATACCCCAACATCCCGTCGGATGTGGTCATACATACCCCACACCACTATGGGTGTAGTCATACCCCGACACCGCTCTGGGTGTGGTCATATCTCATAAGAATTCTTTAGTCACCACCACATGAGAGGTGTGACTATCATACATATATCATAATAGAGTAATAGCATAGGGAGCCCTAATTACTACGTAATTGACCGTGAGACCACAACACTCATATTTGGTATCCTTATACATGATTCATATATCATCTTGCTTAATCATAGTTCGTTACTTGCACATGTACTTGACCTGGCCATAATTGGCTCAACATAGGTAAATTAGGAGTCGTATAATTGCACTTCCTCGGGATAAACCCTCGTGCAAGTCATCCTCCTTAAACATCATAATATCACCAGGGAATATATATTTTCCCACTTGTGCATCCAAATACAACAATCATGAAAAATCATACCTAATCACCTTCTCGAACCATCGTAAAGCATATTAACAGTCAAGCCCACAATTTGCAATATATACACAATCATCAGCATAAACAAGGTTCATATCGATTAGGGCAAGTCAATAATATCATACAGCAATCCAGGGCTCAACATATAGCACAAAAGCTCATACACCCCTAATCATGCCATTCTAGTTCACCTAGATCAATTCTAAGCATCAATATAATTATCGTGATACGACAAACCCGGTATGCCGTGCTAATCCCTCACCAGTTCTGGTCGCTCAAACACCGGTTCTAGCCTCCCGTACTAAAACGTCAATTTCACGAACGAACCCCGAATTACAATCCGAGACCGTCCTAATATCCCCTGCAGTATCCCCGTCGATATTAGTTCTAGGCTCCGGGTCAAATTCTTGATAAAAATACATCAAACCCTGGCCGGAGCTAAATTCAGCGGTTTGGACCCCGACCTAAATAATTGCCGAAATTCATGAATTAGAACTAGAGGATTGATTACCTCGCTGCAAGAAGCTCGTATCTGAAATTTGGGCTCAATCCGGCTTCTGGATACTCCGAAACCCTAATTTGGCAGATCGGGAATTCAAGAAATTCCTGAACCAAAAACTCGTTTTAAAGCTCTAAATCGATAAATCACGATGTATAGATGAATTAGGCATTACTTACGGGATTTTTGGATTGCTAGAATTCAAGAACAGAGCTTTGAAAAATTTCATCGGACTGCCTCTGCGCTCTCTGTTTCTCTCGGCATATAAATGATGAAAAGATGGGAGAAATGGTACGGGGAGGATTTGGACGAGGGGTATATATATTTGAGCGGTCCCCGACCGCTTATTTATTTATATAACATATAATTATATATATATATATATGTATATATATATAATTAATACGTATACTTATCCGATCGATCGATAATCCAAATTTCGCCGAAATATTGTTAAAACGCTCGATTTAAAATCGCGAACTTTCTAGCGATCGAAATATGGGATTTGCCGTAACAGGATGTTTCACTGGATGACGCGGTTTGCCCCTTGTGCGAGTTGCGTGGTCATTTCCTTTGCCCCTTGCTTGACTTTCGATATCTTGAACCAAAGCTCTCAAAGTCGTTAAGAGTTCCTTCGCTAGTCCATTGTTGTAAGCGCTAGTGGACCATAATTGCGACCTAGGTAGGGTGGCCCCCACGGCTTGAGAGTTTTAACTCAAGACGCTCATGTTTCGTGTCTCCCCAATGTCGCGTCCATGCTGTCAGGAAGTCATGTGTCTTGTTAATGTCTTACTTGTGTGAGGCAAGAACAACTGTTCTCTTCTAGGAAGCTTAGTATTTCGCCTTTTGAGAAGCGCATTAGTCTTTCAGCTTTCTGGAAAGCTTAGTGCTTCTTCGGCTTCCTGGGGTGCGCTTCTCCTTTGGCTTCTTGGGAAGCGCCTCGCACCTTCGACTTCCTGGGAAGCGCATCGCTCCTTTACTTCATGAGAAGTGCATAGCTCCCTCGACTTCCTGGGAAGCGCATCGCTCCTTGGCTTCCTGGGAAGCGCGTCGCTCTTCGGCTTCCTGGGGAAGCGCCTCGCGCCTTCGGCTTGGAAGCGCATCGCTCCTCGGCTTCCTGGGAAGCCCGTTGCTCCCTTGGCTTCCTGGGAAGCGCATCGCTCCTTGGCTTCCTGAGAATCGCGTCGCCGCTCGGCTTCCTGGGAAGCGCATTGCTCCTTGGCTTCCTGGGAAGCGCGTCGCCGCTCGGCTTCTTGGGAAGCGCATCGCTCCTTGGCTTCCTGCGAAGCGCATCGCTCCTCGGCTTCCTGGGAAGCGCGTCGCTCCTCGGCTGGGAAGCGCATCGCCGCTCGGCTTCCTGGGAAGCGCATTGTTCCTTGGCTTCCTGGGAAACGCATCGCTCCTCGGCTTCCTGGGAAGCGCATTGCTCCTTCGCTTCCTGGGAAGCGCTTTGCTCCTTAGGCTTCTTGGGAAGCGCATCGCTCCTCGGCTTTCTGTGAAGCGCTTTGCTCCTTAGGCTTCCTAGGGAGCGCATCGCTCCTTCACTCTTTCGCATTGCATTCCAAAGAGGGAACATCGCTCGGAGGCGGGAAGCATTCATCGGGGGGAGCCTCGCCCAGAGGCGGTTTACGAGCCTTGCTCAGTGGCGGAAGACATGAATCAACCCCCAAAGGGTGCATCGCTCGGAGGCGGTATTTTAGCCTTGCCTGGAGGCGGAAGGCATGAATCAATCCCCGAAGGGTGCATCGCTCGGAGGCGGTATTTTAGCCTTGCCCGGAGGCGTAAGGCATGAATCAATCCCCGAAGGGTGCATCGCTCGGAGGCGGTACTTTAGCCTTGCCCGGAGGCGGAAGGCATGAATCAATCCCCCAAGGGTGCCTCGCTCGGAGGCGGGAAGCATTCCCGAGAGGGAGCATCGCTCGGAGGCGGTAAGTATTCTCCGGAGAGAGTATCGCTCGGAGGCGGGAATCTTCGAGCCTAGCCTGGAGGCATGAGGCGTGATTCTTCGACTCTCCGCTGGAGGCGGGGATCTGATAAATATAGCATGAGGTGCTAGTATCCAATATTCTCATAGTATAAATAAGCATATAATTTTATTATGAATATCCTAGAATGGTGGTGATGCCTCTTCATGGCGTTGAATTGAAGATATATTCTTGAAGAAATTACTTATCTTGAGAAAAGATAGTAGAGGAGGCAGCAGGTCGATGAATTAACCAATGTGTCCTTGTAGCATATTGGGCGGTTCCCTTCCTTTCAGACGGTAGAATTGAGGTTCGAATCCTGGCTCCAGCGATTCCCATTTCTTTTTAATTGAGCCCGGATTGAGCTGACTGAAGCTGGGTCAAGCGGCTAATGGCGGGCCGTGCTTGCCTTTGCGAAGCGGCCCACGGGCCTTGGCGGTCTGGCAGTGGCAGGCGGTTTGCGGGCTTTGTGATGGTGGGCTTCGGAAGCGGCAGTTGGAGGCTCGCCAGGTCTTTAGCGGGCCTCGAGGCGAAGGCGGGCCGACTAATGATGAAGTGTGGCGGCTCGCGGTCTTGGGCCTTGGTTTGGTGGTAGGCGGGCCGCTTTGTGAGTGAAGTGGCGGTTGGAGGTTTGACGGGTCTTTGCAAGGCGGGCCGCTTTGTGAGTGGATGCATGCTCTGGGCTGAAGCGAGTTACACGACGGCTGCGTACCGTGATGGGAGAAGCGTCGGATGGTGAGCGTCTCCTTCGCGGAGATGGGCTGAAGGGCGATTTTTGCATGTTGGGCCTATGTCCTTGGCGGCCCAAACTTTGCAGGTGGCCTTGTTGCCTCCTCTTCTGGGCTCCTGCTTTGTTGCCTCGATATATGTGAACCTCGGTATTCGTGGCGCCTTAGCTTTTTCTGACATAGGAGGAAAGTGTGATTGAGACATCACTGTAGCAGTAGGCAGAGTTAAAGTGTGGCCTCGGTACTCGTGGCGCCTTAGCATTTTCTGACATAGGAGGAAAGTGTGATTGAGACATCACCGTAGCAATAGGCAGAGTTAAAGTGTGGCTGATGGGATGCAAGGTCGAAGGGGTTTGGGAAAAGTGAGATAGCGACTGCTGGTTCCTTCCCTTATTTCTGGCGGCGTCATCTCCGGTGATCGGAATTAGGAATTTTCCAGTTTTTTTTTCTTTCGTCTATTCTTCACCATCTTCATTGAGCTGTTGCCGTGGCTTGTAAATTGATGGAGGAAGAGTCGGTTCCTTCCCAAAATCCTCAGACTGACAATTTCCTTTCTTTTGCACTTGCTCCATGGTTTGCTCATATTTCCTCTTCCTCTGGTTCTGGTTTTTTCTTGGCGGTTGGTGCGAGCCGATTTTGCCGTTGGAGCTGGGCTTGTGGTTGAGGAGTATCGGAGAATAAGAAGATGAGTTGGTGGCGATGGCGCGATGATAACCTCTCCGGCCGCTGGAATATTGACGCTGCTCCATTTTATTTTATTTTATTTTTTTCTCGCTTTTCCTTTGGCAGTGCTGCTGCCGATGCTTTTTCTTTCTTTTGACCAGCGCTTGTTGTCGTTGTTTTCGGGAGGTTGAGGCTGCTTGTCGCCAATACTTGTGGTTGGTTGAGGAAAGACCTTTTTGTTCTTTTGCTCCGACGGCTTCGGTCAGACCTTGTGGACGTTGCGATTGCTTGTAGTTGGTGGCGGAGTAGCTCCTTTCTTCCCTCCCTAAAAAATCAAACGATAGAGTTGCCAAATCAATGCCCCACGGTGGCCGCCAATTGTTTGAGCCTAGAATGTACTAGGCAGTTATGGGGCTCCGATCTGGACTCCCTCGTCCGATCTCCTCGCGAGTGGAAGAATCTGTGAGGCGGGGGGGGGGGGGGGGGGGGGCGGCCTCCGGGATCTACGCTCCGATGCCCAAGTTAGTACAATATAGAAAGCGGTTTATGGTATGTAGAGAGAGAGTTTAGAGAGAGACCTTAGGGTAGAAGTGAGGAGGGGGAAGAGAGGATCTTTAGCTTGGAGGGTTAGGCCTCCTTATATAGGGTTTGGGCTTCCTTGAGTGGGTTTGGGCCCAGGACGCCTTGCGGTGGGCTTGGGCCCGTTTATAGTCGTGTAGGCATATTAATCCATATCCCAACAGAAAGGAACTTCGAGTGTGAACACAAGGGGGGCGGATTTGAAGGCTAGATTATAAGAGAGTTGTTGACTTAATCTTTACTTGTTTGTTAAGAATTTGTTTTTTCTTTTAAGTGTAGGATTTGGTCATCTGTTTGCCTTCCTTTTATGTTGTGGATTAGTGTTAGAGAGTCTATAAATAGAGGGTGTGAGACCTACGAATTTTGTACCCAATATTTAGAAATCAAGTTATAGAGTGTTTACTCGTGTTTCGTAGGAATGTTTTGTGCAAATTTTTCTGCCGAGGATTTCAGGAGGTTTTCACGTGTCTCTTATCAACTAGAGAATGCGTCTAGTTGTGGCGAGCATCTACTAAATATCGATTGGCTTTATTCATGAATGGGTGATTGTTTGATTGGTTTCATATACCAATTGGCCCTTTACATGAGTTGGGATCTTATTGATTGTGTTCCACTTTATCGTTTATTTCGAGTTGAAGAAGAAAAAATAAAAAAAAGGATGTTGGAATAAGAAAATCAAGAAAAGATCGTTGACACTGCGTACTTTGGTCATATCATCCAAATTCGAGGGTTCTCTTCGAATTTGGGTCATACCATTTATTCAAGTGGAGGATAGTATACCGCTGGGTACTCTATCCAAGAGGGTCTGATCTGCTTTAGTCGAGATTCCAGAATATCTCAAGACTTTCCGCAGTATAAGTATAAATTGAATCGAATAAGGGGAATGGCAACTAGACCTAACTGTAGAACTAGGGGGACACTTACTTGAGTGGTGTTTCTCATATTTGGAAATTGGAAAAATTACCTGCTTTATTTTATGCTTTGCATGTAAATAACTTCTCTACACTTTGATCGCGAGATACTAGATAATTCACTGATTAGTCAGTACTTCTATGACTCGGATTGACAATTAAAACAAAACCCACTATACTACATTCCTAAGTTATGAATATACTTGGTCGTTTTTTAGTGTGTTGGTATTAGCGAGTCAAGTCCCTTTAAGCAAACTATTCAAGAGAGCCGTGATCGCTTCAATTTTGAGATTCAAGGCTTATTAAGATTGTCCTCAACATAAACATTAGGTGAAACAAACTAAGGAGTCAACAATCATTAATCCGGCTAATGAATAGGGGGACTCACTACCTTAGTGACTTTTCTTAACCCGAAACTTGATCAAGTTACTTACTGTGTTGTCAATTCTTAGTTATTTACTTTATTCATCCTGAATCTTATATGCTAAATAATACCCTGAGTCTGAGTAATAGTAACTCTAACGACCGGTAGATTCAATATTAAAATTTGCTCCATTGTACTACAATGCCCTTCTGACTCGTCCCGAATATCACAATTAAAATCCCACCCAAGACCCAAGTATAAACCTTAGCCGGGTGCAATATAGAGCAAATATGTTTTAAAAGTCAAACCGGGACGGTCCATGTACCCCTACTTCAACTGATTGAAACATTATCTAACAATCGAATTTTGGTTAAAACTATGGACTATGATTAAAAGCAATTGGAAATGTAAATGGTTTTGAACACTAATTGTGAAGGCTTCACCCGAGTGTTGTTCCCACTAGCTAGTGATCAAGATTTGTTGAACCGGATGCAAAGTGTGGTAAAAGCGGTTGTAAACCGTAGGGAAGCGCAACAAGTGAACAAGCTCCACTCTCTCAGTCACTAGTGTACGTGGGCACCGGGCCGTGCCGTCCACGGGCTAGCACGACACGAGCACGGACAGAAAATAAATGACCCAACCCGGCACGAACAGGAATAATTTATGGGCCGTGCCGGGCCTAAACTTCATGGGCACGGGCACGAGCACGAGCACGACAAGGTATATAAGTGGGTCGTGTCGGGCCTAATATTTTCGAGACTTTATTGAGTATAAGAACGTACATGGCACGGAAATAATATTTATTTGATAGAAAATAATATAAAAAGAATTATAGGTTCAAATATTACAAAGCACAAGTAGAAAAATAATTATTTGTTGTTGTTGTTAGAAGTGTCCTAAAGATATATACGTAATTACATAAGTAAAAATGGACAAAGAATTAAACAAAACCAAATCACACTCGCTATACTTCCAATATTCTTTCCCCCCCTTATTTGTTACTTTTCTCAAACATTGTCGGTTAATACTATCTTCCTCCGTCCAATTTCACCTTCTTTTTCATTCTCTCTTTTGTTTTCGTCCTTTTCATTAAACACGAATACGAGCATGAAACGAGCACGAATAGACACGACACGATTTGAACCGTGCCCGGGTCTGGGCCGGGCCTAGCAAAGTTAACAAATGGACTTGCATGGCACGACATGAAAACTGAGGGGCCGTGCCAAGCACAACACGAAATAAATGGGCCTGAAGCGTGCCCGTGTCGTGCCGGCCCAAGCACGGCCCAGTGCCCATGTACAGTCACTAGGGCAAGGGATATCAAATCAAGCTATCTAGGTAGCTCTCCTGGCCAATCGACTAAGGGTTGCTTAGGCTTCTCCCTCGAATTCTAGTTCGTACGGCCAAAATACAACTTACCCAAGGTGCTAAAACGTAGTATGAGGATTGCCCTAATTTGACATAAGTAGGTGACTCGATTTGGCGAAGGATTTCTAGCTTTTAAAAGCCTCTTAGCAAGAAGGGGATTTCCCTCTACCTAGGTCAAATTGGCACAAGAGTTGGAATTGGAAAACACAACACAACCTTCATAAAAATACCTCAATACTTATATTAAAACACAACCACACACAAATCATTCAATCCTTACAAATATTCACAAAATTATAGCTAGGGTTCACAAACACCCAAGTGAAAGAAAGGACTACTCCATGCTAAGAAGTAGGAATACTGATATAATCCAAGAATCGGGTCTATCTAGGGATAGGGAATTAGGGGAATCAACTAGGGATTGATTACCTGAAGAGAACTAGGGATTGGGAATTGGGATCGGAATTAAAGAAGAGAAGGGGAAGGAAGGTTTGTTGCGGCAACAACTAGAGAAGAGGAGGGGAGGGTCTCGGCTAGGAAGGAAAGAAGAGAGAGAGGTAATTAGGTTTTAATATTCTGCTTAGTGTTATGAGAACCCACAAGCTAAGTATTTAGATAATCAGCTAATTGCAGAATGCTACCCCACACAATTAAACCACCCAATAATCCCCCCAATAATGTTTAACAAATAATAACCGATAAATGACTAAATGTGCAAAATAAATGTTTCCATCATCCTCGCCTCCTTATGAAAAACCTTGACCTCAAGATTGAGTTTGAGTTTACTTGTTTTCGTCCTTAGGATCCACCACCCACTCGAACACGACCGCATCATCCTCGGCATCGTCTTCCCAGCGGCCGATGAACATCATCATCTGTGGCTTCGCACACTTGTGCCCCACCGTGAACCGCTCATTGCAGTTGAAGCATTTGCCTTCCTTGCGCTTCTGATCGATCTCCGCCTGGGACAGGTGAACAAAGCCCTTCGGTGGAGCCGGCGGTCCTGGCCAAGCCGTCGCCCCCACCTGGTTGCTCGCCCACATGGCTGTCCCGCAGCTGGCACCGACCTGCCCGATCTCGCCACCACTAGCGAACGAGCTACCGCCGTCAATTGGCTATCTCCTCCTCTTTGTGACCTGCAAGACGAAAAGCAGCTTTCAAAGAGTCAGGCTCAAAAACCTTAATTGCAGATGCAATCTCCGGTTTGAGCCCCGCCATGCACAACCCCACCAATGTCTCCTCCGACGCACCGGTGCACTGGTTCCCCAACTGTAAAAAATCCGCCCTATACTCCGCCACCATTCCCGTCTGGCGGAGCTTAGCCAGCTGCTCTGGAGCCCAACCCTCCGATTTGCCAAACTGGTATCGAAGCTCGTCCTTGAACCCCTACAGGTGATCAAGGTGCCTTGCTGCGAGTAGGACCTCTCCAACCATTCCCACCACTGTAGAGCATCCCCTTCCAGATAGAAAGATGCCAGATGCGCCTTCCTCTCCTCCTTGATGGGGTGATTACGGACCACCTGTCAGCTGCGTACAACCACAATCCTGCATCCTCTTGACCATTGAATTTGGGGAACTCAATGGTAGGTGGTTTAGCCCTAAACACAAGCCCATCTTCACCCTCATAACCCCGATAATGCCCACCATACCTGCCCATGCCGGACGAACCGTCGTACGAGCCATGAAAACCCGACAGTGGCGGCCCATACCTCCAAGCCTCGTCCTCCGCATCATGTCCACTAGGGAAGTACTATGAACCCTCCGGCGGTCCTCACACAGCCTCCCATGGCTGCCCGAATGCTGGTCCACCCCCTGGTAGCCACCTCCGTGGATCGAACCTTTACCATCCACAGCAACCAGCTGCTGATCGGCCGGTTTAGTGGTCGATCAGCCCTACCGGGACCGCCTGAACTAGTTTGGTTTGAGCCCTCGCTGCCTACCAAGCACGATTCCACGGGGCGGTTGGACCAGCCCCACTATGGCTCGTACCTAGCTTAGTTCGCCTCCTGCTCCTCCCATGAAGGGCCCAATGGTACCGCGTTCGCGCCGCGGATCACGGCCTCATAACCTGGCGCCTTCGCCTTGTCGCGTATGACCGCCAGCTCCTGGGTCGTAGGGGTCGGCAGCAGCCCGGTGCCTTGAGGAGGCCCAAAAGAGACATGGCCCGCATGCTCACTCCGCTCCAGGTCAACGGCCGTCACCGCGACTGCCTGCCTCTGGCTTTGTTGGCTGCGCACTGCCCCGCCATTCCCTATCATCCTAGCGCTAGCATCGACCAAGGAATCGTCCACGCCAAGGCTCGGAGTCGCTCCCGTCACGACCACCATTATCGAGCTGCCGAGGATTCCTCCGATGCCAGGGTGGCCGGCTTCACCTTGTCGTGGACCAGTTGCTCTAGGATCTCGCGAATAGCCTGGAACTCTAGTGACAGCGCGTCCTGACCAGTACGCAGGCTCGCGGTTTGCGCGTCCAGGTCGCCCATCGTCACCTCCATCTGATCGACCTTGCGGCGTAACACCTCTGTGTCGGTGAGGTCTTCGAGGGCGCCATCCACCAGTGACCCGGAGGTCTTGCTTTGGGCGGCCTTCTCTTGGGCAACGACCTTCTCCGCCGCGGTCATTGATTTGGTCTGCACCATGGATGTCGATATTGAGTCGGCGAGAGTCGTAACAGAATCGTTGAGGCTCTGAAACCAATATGATAGAACCCAAGAATCGGTTCTATCTAGGGATAGGGAATTAGGGGAATCAACTAGGGATTGATTACCCAAAGAGAACTAGGGATTGAGAATTGGGATCAGAATTAAAGAAGAGAAGGGGGAAGGAAGGTTTGTTGCGGCAACAGCTAGAGAAGAGGAGGGGAGGGTCTTGGCTGGGAAGGAAAGAAGAGAGAGAGGTAATTAGGTTTTAATATTTATGCTTAGTGGTATGAGAACCCACAAGCTAAGTATTTATATAATCCGCTAATTGCCGAATGCTACCCCAAACTATTAAACCACCCAATAATCCCCCCAATAATGTTTAACAAATAATAACCGATAAATGACAAAATGTGCAAAATAAATGTTTCCATCAAATACACAAAGGAGAAGAGACCTCATGAGAGGGTTGCCTTCTTCCCTTGGTGTGGAGATCAACCTTGGAGGATGAGATTCCCAAATCTTGGAGTTTGAATGAAACCATAACCTTCTTCTCTTCTCTTGTTCATCACTTTCTCTCTCTAGAAATCCGAAGAAGAAGAAAAAGAAGTTTTCTCACACTAGGCTCCCTTTTCTCTTTCAGCTCAGCTCTCCTTTTATACCCAGATTGAAGGCTTTTCACGGTAGTGAACCATAAGCCTGCACCGTGATGGAAAAACCTCACTGGAGCATATTAATGCTCTTCACAATCTGGAGCAGATTATCACGGTCGAGTGGTCGTGATGTCTCGAATGCCCACAAGATGGAAAAACCTCTCTTGACTACTTGCACTTCACGGCCGGGCTGACCGTGAACTCCTGGCCTCCATCGTGAACACCTGTTGATTGCTCCCTTAGTCCCTTTTGATCTTTTTTCACCCCTTTTCATCCAACTTTCGTTCCCGAGGTTGATTCCACCTGCTAGGATCTTAAACATACTAAAAACAAGAACAACCTAGCATAAAATCGAACCTCACAAAGTGAAAGTGCCCCAAACGTCTAAAGAAAACGAGGGTAAAATGTGTACAATTGAACCCCAATCACCTTCATTGGTTTCACTTAGTGTTTTTTAGGAGTAGTATTCAATAGAAATCATCGAGTAGTGTCACCACACAAACGAACAATAATGTTTTCAAGAATATTAAACAAACATTTCCCTTCAACAAAGATAATGAACTAAAAAGTCCATAATGGATAAATGGAATCATTAAACTTTCCCCCAAAAGAATCCTTGTGCCCTAGTTCTATGGTCATAGGGAAAACAACAATAACCAAAGAAGTTGGATAATATAAGTGCAGAAGGTTAGCAAAAATACTCAACATCCGAAGATAAATAAAATACATGACTAGTGGAGGTAGGATACATGTTTTTCATGGCTAATTTCTAAATATGGGTTGTATAAGGAGACAATTAGGGATTTGAGGTGATGAGTTTTGAGATTTATTATTTTAATTTACATATTGTAATTGGCAAATTAACTATGTATACAAGAGAATGTATTAAAGCATCATGTAATTATAATTTTTTTTGTTAAAGCTACTAATAAGGACGTTTCATGTTCAAATTTTAGCGGTGCCATGGAACCCTCTACTTACAAACTACCTCCATCATTGATTGTGAATGAGATTACTCCACGAAGAACTTCGAACTTTCAGAGGATATTATTATGATTTAATTGTGATACCTTGATTATCATCACCATACCTACATATTTATTCTCCTAACAGCGGGTAAACCTAATTGTGAACATGGTCATGTCTTCAAGAGAATCGATTTTGTTTTCCATTTTTTTTTAAATGGATACCATTATAGAGAAGGCATAAAATTCAAACTTTTCAGAGTGAAAAAAAAAAAATTAACTTTGGAGTTGTTATGTGATGAGTGAATGAAGGGTAGTGGGATTGGATTTGGGATTGAGTAGAAGATAATTAGGGTTTTGAGAAGGAATAAAGTAGAATTAGCGATGGCGAGGGAAATTGGGATAACTTAACGATATTTTGATATTTTGTTTATTGATTGCTTATGACAAAATAAGTAAATGACAATATATAGACGCTGACCCAAAATCCTAATCGATCTACTCAAGTAATAAAACTTACTAAATTACCCTTGATTAAAGGGCGTGCCTCCATCATAAACTTACTTACCCTTGATTAAAGGGCGTCCCTTCGTCATTATGGAGGAGATACAAACCCTATTGAACACATTTAGGTCCAACGCTTAGGAGTAAATTATGCACATTTTCATGTAAGGTCATCTTTAGCCGAATGTACTACCACTTTCATCATTTTGTGTATGGGACAAGGGACTAGATTATTTGAACTGAAGCATTCCAACACGGGTATGCAATTAATACAAACCAAGGCCAAAAGCATTACCATTTCGAGTTAGTTCCCCGCTTACCCTCAATGGTGTCCGTTCAGGTCGGGTTCGCTTACCCGATAAAACTAGAAAACCCAAACCCGAAATCATTGAAAGGTCGAACCCCAATACGATAAGTATTTTCGGCTTTCGTTTGCTCGAAATCCGAAAATTCCTTATTAGGTTCGGTTAAAGCAAAAGCGAAATTCGAAAACCGAACTCCTAAGGATATGGCCCAACTGCTAGTCCTTAAGTGTTTACAGTCAAAAACCAAAAAACCGATAAACAAAACCGAACCCGAAATGGAAAAAACCAAAATCCAAAATCCAAACCCGAAAACCCCACATTGTATCTAATCAGTTCGATTTCAATTAAACCCGAAAACCCAAACCGAAATGCACAACCCTACTTACCCTCCTGATATTCCCAAACCTCTAAGAAATTAAGAACAAACCTGACCATTAAAAATGGTACCCTGTGATTGGAACGACCTCTGTAATAGTTTGTAGCCGACCTCTTTGTACATCTACACAATAAATAAAAGTCAAATGAGAAAACTTGAAGCTCCATTTCAAATTTCCTGCATCCAGAGTGAAAGTAGGAAGGACATTTTGGTCTTCACAATTACTTTTTTATTCATTAAAAAAACACTTACTAAGATTCGAACCATGACCACTTTTAAAAAAAACAAACATCATAACCAATCACACTAAGTATATTTGTTGCATCTTTTTAAATTAAAAACATATAATCGCAGAGAGGAAAAAACCCTTCCCCCATTTCAAATTCCCTGCTCCAGGAGCGTTTGTAGGAAGGGTAGAATAGGGAGTGTCAATTTTTTTCTTTTTCCTCTGTAGAACGGGCCAACTTACCGTACACATGCGGATGTAAACGGGTCCGGGAGTGTCGATTTTTTTCTTTAAGTCATTTTATTTCTCCGTGGTGGTAAAATAAATATGAAAAGGCAAAAATAATACTCCTTTTTATTGCTAAAAAGAAAAAAAATTAACAATGAACTAATGCATGGATTCTAATGGGCTAACCACTAATCATAAAATAAAAGAGTTGAATGGGCCTGACCTACACGGGATTTGCCCATCAAGTAAAACAAATGAACATCATGAGTTTGCCATTTTAAAACAAGCTATTTTCTCTAGCATAATATATATTATGCTATTATTTTATATCTTAGTGGCTAAAATATAATGTATTTTAAAGTTATTCAATGGTTCAACCTCGACCAACCCAATTAGTCCAATTTTTATCATTTCAAATATATATTATGTAATTATTTGATATCATAATGATTAAATTATAGTGTATATTATAGGGAAACGTTTGGTATTTGTTAGTAAAAACCTAAACAGAAAGATCTATTTGGTTATTTTTAACATTAAAAAGATCCTAAACATTTTCAGTTTCCTTTCGAAATTCTGTAGTTTTATTCCCGAATCAGTGATGTGCAAATGGCGAATTGCAATCATCTCTTTTCTTTCAATATTTTTTATTTTCAAATAGAAAGTTTAAAAGTAAAGAATAATTAGAGTTTGGCATGGGTCGGTCAAACAGGCTGAATTACAAGTTTGACCCGTTTTGATCAAGTCTAATTTATAATCACATGTGTCCCTGATACCCGATAAAAATCTCAATCCAAACCAGTTTGGCAGGTGAGTCCGTGATTACCACCATTTTCTAGGGATACAGGAACAGTGGTTCCTATCCCAAATTGTGTTCTTCATTCTTGATTTCTTTAGATTTTATCATGGCTTGGCAAAAAACCAGAAGGCACAATGATGACAAGATGAAAGTTTTATAAAGCAAATTAATCGGCCAACGGGCCGAGTAAAAGCTAGCAACGATTGTGAGATGCTCATTTCCCGAAAACCGGCGGGATAGACGATTTTTTATTCGGATTTCCGGAATTCGGTTTCTATAAAACTTACTCCACCTCATAATATTACCAGAAACAATATTGTTTCACAAGGTAACAGGTACTTGATTTTGGTTCATAAGACTGATTTTTTATTCGTTGCATCATTCGTGTCTCTTTCCTACTAAAATTCACTATTTTTATCACGTGTTTCCCAAAAAAAAAACTATACAATAATAAGCTATACACCACATTACATTATCAAATTTCATACCTCACATTCCTCCGGCCAAAGTCGCCACGCTAATAACTAAATATTGAGCACCGAGCTGTCTAAGAAATCGGTGAAGGAGAGCTCCTTTCAGTAGGGACTCTCCTGGTCCGGGTCCTTGACGTAGTGTGTAGTTGGTAATCAGCTTGGTTCCCCCGGCCCGATGCAAGGAGATTGAAAGTGGATCGTTCGTCCAATCGGCCCATATTATATAATGGGCCCTCAGTTCGGTTATCTTAAATTTGGGCATAGGCCGGCAGTTAAACTACTCCTTCGCGTTAGGGATCTACAAAATATGTGGATAACTGTCGAATTTCGACCTTATTTGATAGGGTAAACTCTAATCTGAATTTTTGAAGATAAAATTAGCCGTTTGTTTGTAGGATTTTCATTATGAATTTTGAATTAAAATATCACACCCATAGGATTTAGGGGTGGGCATTGGTGCGACCCGCACCGCACCGCACCGTGTTGATAAAAACCGCATCGCACCGCAAAGTAATTGGACCGCACCGCAAATAAAACCGCAAGTTAATTGGTACGGTCCAACCGATCCGCATTAGTTAGCGACTTGGTGCGGTTCGGACCGCAACCGCAAATAAAACCGCAAAAACACAGCATCCTGTTTTATCCGCCGCTCCTGCCCGCACGTGTTCAGGCCCGTGCCGAGAACCGGCGGGGTGGTCCCACCGGCCGAAGCTACGGCCACCGCTGCGACGGCGTCGTGTAGCAGCAGAAACGAAGACCCGCCCACTTCCTTGTGTCTGTCCCTCCCAGGGACCGATTTTTCCTCCGACGCAGCCTCGACCCCTCGAGTTCCCGAGCCAACTCACAATCACCATCAGGCCGCTACTACTGCCATGGCACTGTTGCCGCCGATGATACCTCTGCTCCATTACCCAAGAAGAAGAAACACACCCTTCCTCTTCTTCTTCTTCTTCGGCCTTCCCGCTTCTCACTTCCCCTGTTCCCCAACTTCATGTTCGTCTCTGCCGTTTCGACTGCTTCCCATCCGGCCGCCATGTCTGTAAGTAGCTAGCTAGCTCTATCGCTCCACTTTCCGCTTCTTCTTCTCCTCTCGTTTCAGCTCTCTCCCTCTCTCTGTTTCTACGGTTTAGAGGGAGGGTTGCTTTTTGATGAAGAACTAATGTTTGAAAATGGTGGCCTAATGGGGGTTTGTACGTTTGTGTGTATAATTTGTTGCTGGTGGTGCAGATGGTGGAGGTTAGAGTTCCCAACCTCGACTGCGAAGGCTGCGCTTCCAAGCCCAGGAAAGCTCTGCTCAAGCTCAAAGGTAATCCAATCCCCTCTGTACTTCCTTATTTTGGTCCACCACCACATAACGGTTCTTTCCTCCTGCTGATAGACTGTGTGTGTGGCGACGCCGGGGACTCCGGGGGGTCCCCTGTTTTCGGCGCAGAGGGAGTCGAGGAGAGAAGAGTCGGTGATTTGAGGGGATTTAGCGGTTTGCGGTTTTGAACCGCAACCGCACGGTTTCGGTCGGCTCGTACCGCAAAACCACGAACCGCTTAATAATGAAACCGCAATCTTAACGGTGCGGTTTGGGCTGACCGCACAAGCGATTTGGAGCGGGCGGAGCGGTTTGGACCGCACCAATGCCCACCCCTAATAGGATTATGCACAAAGTCTATATTTTGTGTTAAAGTGGTATTGAATTATGGTGTGTGGCCCCATGTATGTGGAATTATTTTGAGGTCAAAATCCTTGGGGTCCACGGATTATAAAATCCCACCTATTTAGTTGGGATTTTGTGGAAGGCTAAAATCTTTAATGGTAAATGGCAGGTCTATCTTAATCTCTTTTCAATATTTTCTATATTGAACATCAAAGACACAAATCATTAAGGATACAAATGTAAATTCAGCTTATAATGAATAAATCCCATGGACACAAATCCAATATGAAATTTAACAAACAAGCAAATTTTAAAATCCAACACAAATCCAAGTGACAAAATCCCACATAATCCTTCATCCAAAAAATCCAAGGTTTTGCCTAAATCCTTCATTTTTTAAAATCCTACAAGCAAATGACCTCTAAATTCCCAATTCAAATATTGAGGATAGTAGGTGAACATGATTTTCTCAGTATCCAATTCAAACTCGTCCGATAATACATATGTGTATGTATTGTATCCAGAAATGATTTTTATTTTTCTCATAATATTTGATATTTTCTATACATATATAATTAGGGATGACAATTTTGTCCATACCCATGTACATTTTACTAGCAAACCCAATTGGGGTTGGTATGATTATGAAGTCCAAATAGATGGTAAATGGGTAAAGTTTGATAGGTTTATATCCATACCCATTGATTTGGATTGGGTTTTTAATACATGGATTTAGGTTTGTACTCATGTCCAAATGCAATTTACAGTTTGGTACCTAAACTTAATATATCTACATATTTAGTACCTAAATTTTTTTGCATATAAATCCTCAAAATATCAATGAAAAACTATATCTTGGTACCTAAATTTTTTTTTGTCATACATTTTGATATCTAAACTTTTTAAGTTTTACAAATAGGTCCAATTTTTATATGTGTAAATAAAACACCCTCAACTAAATGTGTATTCATACACAACCTATACTCATTTAGATTATGGAAGGAATATCCATACATTACCCAAACCCATTTACAAAGTACCAAACCATATGCACTTCACCCATACCCAACATATTATCAATGGGACTACTTGGATTTGGATATAATTACCCATGAGTGGGTAATTATTGCCATCCCTGTATATAATATTATGGGTTAATACTTTAAAATGGCCAAAATTTGATAATGAAGGATTAATTTGGCTAAAATTCTCCGGAATATCCAGCATGACCTAAATTAATGCGTATTCTAACTAATTTGGCCAAACCCATGGGTTGACCCGTCAAGTTTGACAGTCAAAATTGTTGACTAAGAGCATCCACATCAATAGTATTTGCTCAATTGCTAATCCTGCATGACACTCAATATGTAATTGCAAAAGGGATTGCACCAAATGTAGTGGACATTTGCAAAGATGCAAACTTGCATTAAATGAAATAGAAGATGAAACCACATAGGAAAATAAAAAATCCTTTGATTTATTTATTTTATTTATTATAAAGTCACTTAAACACTCATGTATGCAATTGCAAGTGAATTGCATTGATATATGTGCAATAAAATAAAGTTGAGATGGATTGCATAAACATTGAGATGGCAATAAGAAGGGGTAAATTGCAAGTTTGGTCACTGGAATTACTATAAAATTTCACGTTTGCCATTGGAATAATTTTATTCCATTCATGGTCACTAAGATTAGGGCTGCAAATGAGCCAAGCTACTCGCGAGCAACTCGAGGCTCGAATCGGGAAAAACTCGTTCGAAACTCGATTCGTTTACTGACGAGCCAAGCTTGAGCATAGCTATGTTCAGCTCATGAAGCTCGCGAGCTAGCTCGACTCGGTGGCTTGTTGAGCTCAACACGTGTTGGCTCATTTAGAGCTCATGAGATGTCTCAACATTGTGGTTTGAGGGCCAACTTGATCACTGACTTATGGACTAATCGATCTAATTTGGACTTTCATAATTCATAGGATTGCTAAATTATATATCTCACATCATGTGAAGTTTAACATGTTGAACATGTAAGAAAATATGCCTTATTTTTAATTCTATAAAGAAATTATGTACAAAATTGTTTCGATATGAAATAACATGATTTGAACTAGTTAAAATTTATTAACTAAACAATATGACACCTAAAAATTATAATATAAGATTAATTAATGTTGAACATTTGATTATTTTTTTATCGCTACATCAATCACATGTACCATACTCGACATACAAAATGAATGTATTAAATACGATATAAGAATTTAATAAACAAGCTTAGCTCGAACTCGACTGGACTCGGCTCGTTAATAAATGGCTCGGGCTCGAGCTCAACTCATTTGTTAATGAGTCAAGCTCAAGCTGGGGTAAAACTCGGCTTAGCTCGGCTCATTTGCAGCCCTAAGTCTAAGATTAGTTCAACAGTTCAAGTTTGGTCACTCTCCGTTAGATTTTGCTGATGTGGCAGTCAACTCTCATATTTGACCGTTAAATGAGTGACGTGGCAATTAAAAAATTAATAAAATTTAAAATTTAAACTTTTTTAATTTCCAACTCATTTTTAAACTCATTAATAAATAAAAATTTAATTTAATTTACGGTCAACTTGACCCACACCACTTCTTCCATCACCTCTATCACCGCCTCACCGGGTTCTCCGGCATTCTGAGGATGGCGATACCCGAAATCCAAATCCGTCCTCGATCGGTTCAACTCCTACTACCCGGTTACGGGGGAGGCAGTTCTCTCCAAGCCCTTCTCCGTCGAGTATAAATGGGAGAAGAAAGTGTGGGTCGATCTGCTTATGCTCGCCCATCCCCTGCATCTCAAGCTTTTATCCGGCGATGACTGAAACATCACCTTCATGGAAGGCTTGAAGTACAAGAGCATGAACGGCGAGCTCGTAGTCGTTGCCGGCGATTCATGGGACATGAAATTGGATTCTGTTTCAGTGACTGGCATTCGTTAAGGGAATCAAAGATGATTGCTACGATGAAATCATGGATGCGCTTCGCAAGGATGTTTATGGCTTTAATGCATCGGCCATAGCCACGACTTCGTCTTACTTCTACGGCAAGTTGGTCTCCAGGGGAGCTAGATTGGCATTAGTCGCCGAGGAAGTTGGTTTCCCTGATGTGATTCCAGCAGTAAGGAGGTTCTTGAAGGAGACGATCGAGCCATGGCTGGAAGGGACATTCAACGGGAAGGGGGTTTTTGTACCATTTCAAATGGGTTGGCATTGTTACCAAGCAAGGGCTAACCAATTCTGGCGCCGATTCTGGGTTCAGTATATACAACGACCACCATTTCCATTAGGCGCAAGGATGTTGATGGCTTTAATGGACCGTGTGGGAGTATTTCGTCCGCCGTAGCCATTATTGTTCTTCCCAAGATTAACCCGGTCTGGGGGAGTAAGTACAGGCCGCAAGCATACTCTTTAATGGTCGTTCATGAACTTGGGGAAGCGATCAGATTTGAGTTACACTCGTAAAAGGTGCTACGATCTGTACAAGCTTCATTCTTGAAGAGGGCAGTCCTCCTCCTCCTTCGACCGTCGTGCAGACGAAGGAGGTGTAACGAATCAACGACGTTTGAGAACAAAAAAAGAAGAAGAAAGAAGGAACCATAGAAGAGAAGGAAGAAGAAGAACTGATAATGGAGGAAACGAGTTCCGCCTTGAATAACTCGAGTTGTTGGGAGAAGGTTATGCTGGATTTTATACCACTCTCTAACACGCCCCCAAGCCAACTCATGGGCTTGAAATTTGCACAGGCCCACCATACCATGTGCTTTAATCAACTGTTAATATTAGGAGTCGTGGAGATTCGAACACTCGATCACTTGGCCAAATCAGCTCTGATACCATATCATAAACCAGTTGGTCCCAATAACTCGAGTTGTTGGGAGAAGGTTATGCTGGATCTTATACCACTCTAACACGTCTGGCTACGGCGGACGAAATACTCCCACACGGTGTGTCATCACTTCGATACGTCGCAGCTGCCGTCGTATCGTTTCGACATCGAGCAAGAGAGGCAGTTGCGGGGGACGACGTCACTAAATGGGTTAGCGTCTTTCGTGGAGAAATTGATATCGGCTTTTGATATGAAACTAGTTTCCAAACCCAATTGGGATTCTAGTCGGAGGGGTGGCCGGAGGTCATGGCAGCTTCACCAACGACGAGAGTTCCAAGGAATTCATCAATGACGGCGACTCTTTTGGAGCTTGCTGGGAACCGGTGGAGGTGGGCTTCAACCGATGAGTAGGTGGAGGTGGGGATTAGAAAATTAATTGTTATCTTTATTTTTTAATAATTATTAGAATGAGCTGGAAATTTTAAAAAAATTAAATTTATTATATATGATTTTTTTATTGTCACGTCATTTATTTAACAGTAAACTAGAGAGTTGACTGCCACATCAGCAAAATCTAATGGAGAGTGACCAAATTTGAACTGTTGAACTAATCATAGTGACCACGAATGGAATAATATAATTCCAGTGGCAAACGTGAAATTTTATAGTAATTTCAGTGACCAAACTTGCAATTTACCCCAATAAGAAGTTAAAAACATCATATTGCATTTTATTTGCTATTGCATTGATGATGTGGATCCTCTACCCGCACAGCTTCCTCTGGCGTCTCTCTCTCCGTCCAGCTTCCTCTGCTGCCAGGGATTTGTTCCTATCTTTATCACCGGATCGAAGTGGTGAGACCATCCCAGACCCAGAAAATTATAGGCGATTCACTCTCCAAGATCGAGGAAATTTAGTGACCCTGAGCCAAACCGAACCCGTGAACTGGCTGATCTAGTGGTGATAATTAATACAACATCGTCTAGGTGAAGTTCTATGTTGCGAAAAGAGGAAAGTAAATTCTCTTGACGGAGCAAAAGCTTTTGGGTGTGAAAGATGGTCATGGAGCAGATCCGGTCAATAATCTTCTGGTCAATAACCATGCATAACCCAATCACTATCCGCAACATCAGCGCTCATTCTCTCTCCTGAAAAGTTTTTAATTCCCCTTTTAATCTTCAACGGACGATTTCTCACTCGTTTTAAGTCGAATTATTTTTGCACAGTTAGATCAGATTAATTGTGCTCTTCAAAATGATATTCACTTTGATATATTTTTGGAATAAAAAATTGAGCCATTTTTTATCAGTCAATACCATATGGTATTGACTGGTATTGAAATAAAAGCATACCTATGTTTTGAAAAGCGCACCATAGTGGTATGATTATGAACAAACCAAGATTTTAGGATGATTGAATACATGATAGGATAAGTATATTAACTTTCATTTACGACTTTTAACATTGTGTACCACAAGATACCACCCCGTACCAGGGTGGTATTATGTGGTATTTTTTTGGACCTGTATTTTGTTCACCCAGAAATTTGTAGATCCAATAAATCATGATGAACTCGTTCCTTCTGTGCAAAAAATTTCAAAAACGAAGAAGATATCATATGGTATGCAGTTGGTACCGAGAGGCAAGAAATTAATTTTTTTCTAAAAAAAATATTGAAAATGGATCTCGTTTTATAGAGCACAACTAAATCGTTCCAGCTGTGAAAAAAAATTGAAATCCAAGTTAAAACGAAAAGATATGCACCGATTAAGAAAACAAGGGAAAATAAAAATGACCTTTATTTCTTCATCATTAGATATGAATTTTCTGAATGAAGGGTACAGATTTAGTTACTAATAGATGTATAACCATGGGTTATGCACTGTATCTTGAGCTGGTTATTGGAAGCAAAAAGACCCTCCTTTTCTTGGGCTAAGATCAGGTGACTAAGGGGGATCCCTTAGTCACATGACTAAGTGAATCTCAGCCACTCAACATCATTAAAATCTAAGAGCTCCAATTAATCCATTTTAATGAAGGGCAATATAGTAATTGCATGATTATTTTTTATTTTTTAATTATAAAATAAATAAAAAATTTCTGATAATGTCCCGACTCCGTTCCCCTTGCGGCTAGTCACTGCATCCTGTCTCCGTCGCTTGTGCCAGCCAGCCACTCCAGCCACTGCGTCCTGTCTCCGTTGCTTGCGCCAGCCGGCCAAGTTTCCCGGGGACTTTGCCTTTTTTGGGAACATGCTTCCTTTCTTGGGAATTTTCCCAACTTCCTTAGAGAGAGAGAGAGAGAGAGAGAGAGAGAGAGATTTTGCTGATCGGAGGAGTTTTCCGGCGACCAGAGTAGATTTTTCGACGACCAGCGACGTCGAAGAAGGATTTTCCGGCGACAGTGCTAGATTTGTGATTTTGTTGATCTAATTTGTAATGTTTGTATAGATTCGATTTGTATTGTTTATCATTCTTGTTTGTCATTTTTAGTGACATTTTGTACGGTCATTATGCTTTGTACTGGTTGACGGTTTATTTTGTAAGGTTTGTACGCTTTGTTATTTTGTAATGTTTGTCGATTTCTTTTGTAATGTTTGTAAGCTTTGTTATTTTTGTGCACCATGTTTATCAATTTTGTCAACCATGTTTGTAATATTTTTTATGTCTAAAAAACAACCTGGTTGACTTTTGGATGTAACTCCTCTATATAGGGATGGAGCCTCCAAAGTCAACCCGAGTGTTTTTTCCAGTTTGTTGGATTGTAGGTCTAGTTTTTCTTTTTTGTATGGTTTGTATTGTTTGTCAGTCTAATTTGTATTGTTTATACAGTTCATATGTTTGTAATGTTTGTAAATCTGTTTGTATGTTTTGTCATTTTAGTTTCTACTGCTTTTATGTTTGAATGGTTTGTACTGATTGTAATTCCGGTTTGTATATTTCGTAATTTTCCATAATACCCAAACTACCGCTGTCATTAATTAAATAGCCCTTTCCACCTTTTAACCGTCAGATTGTTGTTCCTGATCTAAGGACTGTTAGGGGCTTAGTCAAGTGACTAAGCACTCCCCCTTAGTCACAGGATCCTCCCTCCTTTTTCTTAGGCGGCCAGAAAATTAAAGGAATGCGGAATCAAACTTGTACTTTTATAATGGATGGTAGTGATAATAATAAATCCTATTTGTATTCATTTTATATTGGGTTAAAGACACATTTGTTCACTGAGATTACAAAATCGGGACATGTTTAGTCACTAGAAAAAGTTAATATCAAATTTGGTCACTACAATTACTAAAACTGGACGCATTTAGTCACTCGCCGTTAGTCTCCGTCCAACTCCGTTAATGAAGTCCGTTAAGTGCTGATGTGGCAAACAGAATTGCCAAATCAGTCAGATATGACCCAACAAAAATAAAACCCGACCCGCCACGTCATTATAACCCGCCACGTCATTAAAACCAACCCAACCCATGACCCAACCCTTCTTCCTCCTTCCTCCCACCTCCTTCTTTCCCCAAAACCACCGCCGCCGCCGCTCTCCTCCTTCCTCCCACCTCCTCCCGCAAACCTGTTCGACCAAACCCAGCAGACCAAACCTGGTAAAAGGGTAATTGTCAAGATTCTTCCTGCTGAAGTCCGGCCGAACCCAATTTAGGGTTTTCCCCATCCCATCCAAATTCGCCGGGCAGGGAGAAGACGGGCTGCCAATCGGGGCACGTTCGGATTTTTTTCAGGTAATGCAACTTTTCGATGAATCGCTCTCAACAAGTTTCAGTCTTGATTCCGTTTTCTATTCTGAGCTAGAAAGGGAGGTAGAGCTTGAACTGACGGCCCGCTGTTGACTTTTTCCTTAATTGGTTATGAGTTAGAGAGAGAGAGGGAGAGACAAGTCTTGGAATTGTGCAGTGATCGGATTGATTGCGAGAAAGAGAGATTCAGCGGCTTTGGAGATACGCGATATGACTAAAGAGCAAATTCCGGAGGAAGATTTTGTGGAGCTCAAGTTCAGGTTGTACGATGGAACCGATATTGGTCCGTTTAGGTATTCGCCGGCGTCTACGGTTGCTGTTCTGAAGGAAAGAATCGTCACTGAGTGGCCAAAAGGTCTGTAAGTTCTTCAGTTTTTGGTTAAAAATTGTTGCTTGGGGGAGTTGATTTGTAGGTTTGGTTGGGGATTGAGATTTCTGTTGTTGCTGGAAATGAACGTAGCCACTCAATACCTGATTGAAGTCACCAAAGTGTTCACTGTTTGAGGTCTAGTTGAAGCTTGTTAAACGTATACGAGGTGTTGCTTGTTGAACTGGCTTAGCATATTTTTTTCCAGCTCTGCCGCTTGGTTTGCTCTGTGCTTTTCTTGGTCTTGCATTTCTCTCTGATGCAATTGTGAACATTTGGGGGATTCTTTGTGAACGTCATTGGCCTCGTTGGTGAAGGATTGGTCTGCTGGGTTAGGTCGAACAGGTTTGAGTGAGGACGTGGGAGGAAGGAGGAGAGCGGCGGCGGCGGCGGTTTTGGGGA